TCTAATACTGTACATTAGACATTGGGCTTTATCCTGTACATTAGACATTGGGCTTTATCCTATAAAGCTTCATGCAGCTCCAGAAGTAGAAAAAAAAACAAATATGACAACCGTAGGTTTCTTTTTAAAGGCCTTGTGACTTCTCCTGAAATATCTATGTCTGTGTGCTGCTATCAGAAGCATGATACTAAAGCCCCCTACTCCACACAGTARGGTTTAGGCTCTCTTGGCCAGTGACTCACCTTGACAGAATGCCTGTGTGAAATGGGGTTGATCAGGGGATCAAAGTAAAAAGCTGGTAGGTCRGGATCTTCTGTTTTAATGAAAACGACGTTTGGAGTATGATACCTACAACACAAAATATGCATTAGAGTCTCAGCCAGCCTTCCCCTCTTCTCCCCCTGCTCTCCTGGCTCTGGAGGCTGCTGCACTCACCAGGTGAGGTGGACATGGTGTGGCAGGTTGTTGTACAGGTACGGGAAAGCGATTTTGTACTCKGTCCTGATGGGCTGCCTGATGATGATTTTGTTGATGTCATTAAATTCATTCCAGTCTTCATCCCTTCAATGAGACAAAAATTCGTTATACAGATATTCAGGGTGAGAGAGACAAACATTTGTGACTGAAAACAAGCTATCAGCCCTTTCCTACATAACCATTTATCTCCTAAACCCAACTTACTGAAGGTTGATGTCTCTAACAAGAGGCTCAAACTTGGGACCTCCAGGAATGGCCATGTTCAGTGCCTTGGAGGTGAAGAAGGCTTTCAGGTCAAACAGGTAGAAGTAGTTGTCATCCACCAGRTCAGTGAGCAGYTGGTTGGCCAGGCGGTACAGAGTGGACATCATGGGGAGAGTGAACTGCCAGCGCTGGTACGTGGAGCCGTTGACATATCTGGGAAGGACAGAGATGGACACTCCAGACACAGCCAGGGGACAAGCAAAACACCAGGAATAACCAAACACCTTCTGCTACCCATCATTTATCAGATAACACATGGGTGCCTCCAGGCTGAAAGAAAGGCTGTAGCACTGTTAAAGAGCACTGTGGACACCTCCTGCCCAGAAAATGCTGACTGCTCCAGTTCCTCTYCTCCTCAGTGACAAAACTGACACAGAACATCTATGCACCTTTAACAAATATCACATTCCATCTGGATGATACAGGCTGTCAGCTTTACAGAATGGTCAGAAACATAACTTTTAGCAGGTAAGTAACAGCCCTCCTGGAYAGAGGGGCCTCACTGGATGCWGGAYYAYAGAATCTGAGAATGGTTYGGGTTGGAAGGAACCTTAAARSTCATCTTGYTCCAACCCTTCCACCTTYCACTAGCCCARRCTGCTCCAAGCTCCCTCCAACCTGGCCTTGAACATTTTCAGCAATGGGGCAACCACAGCTTTTCTGAGCAGCCTGAAGGCAAGAGATGCAGCTTTCCACCACGAAGCTTCTCCCTCCCACCCTCGAGGGAAGGTTTTTCTCCCCTCACTAACATCACACATTGCACCATAAAGAAGTTACACATTGCTCTGTACAAACTGTTTGTTTTTCCCCCTCTCCCAGTGAAATGTGCCACCACAGCCACATACTTCCTGTTRTCCTTCAGAGGCTGGTGGTCATAGAACCAGTCCAGCACAGGGGCATCCTCCTCTGGATCCAGCTCCAGCTGAATAGCTTCCAGAGGCTCCACATCCAGGATGTTATCAGCATAATCCAGAGGGGGTTCCTCATCATCAAACGGGGGGAATCTCATCCTCTTGAAGTGACGCCTGTCCCTCTTCTCCCGCCTCATCATAATCCACATGGAGCTGCAGGAAACCAGGGAAGGTTAAACATGGATTTTATGGTGGATGCACAGGGGTTTGTGAAGGCAGAGGGCACCTACCCCCACTGGGCAATGTAGACAGGCTCGATGACCCAGGGGATCTCGTTGACAAAGGAGATGGCACCGGTGATGTGGTACAGGACGGGAACATCTCGGATCTGCTCCCAGGGCATGGGCATGTTCTCCAGCAGCTTCAGCACRGCATGAGGCATGTACTTCAGAGCACTGCAACCACAAACCAAGGGGAACCAGGGTTGGGATGGATCTCAAGAACAGCCATCCACCTGCCACAAACCCAATTACCTCCCAGTTTTCCCTCCTGCGAGCTGCTCACCTGACCTGTTCAAAAAGCAAATCCTTGAACTTCCCACTCTACCTTTGTACTATCAAAAGGTTTCCTACTGATTTGGCTGTCATGAACATTATAAACAAAAAATCGAAGTTTTCAAGTGGGTTTCTGGAGTTTTTATGGGTGACATTAAGTTAGTGCAACACACCATGATGTACATTAGACAAATCTCTGAACCCAAACAGCAAAGAGCTCAGGATGCTTTTCAATCTTGCAGAAAACATATGCTAGTTACTTGACACCATCCCACAATTTCTTCTAAAACAATGTGCTWTACAGAGTAATGTTTTTCCTCATAAATTCTAAGCAACAATTACTTTTGCTCATCCTTCTCTGCCCTCACCGAGCATCCTCACCGAGCTGCAATAGACAATAATTGTTCTTTGGAGAAGTCTCTCCCTCCAACACTTATCAAGGCAGCATCGGCAGATCCCCTCAGCTCCCCGTGTCACACACGGGGCGTTCCTTACCCCAGGTAAACGCGCTTGTCGTGCCGGAACTTTCTGTTGGTCATGTCGCCGTGGTCACGGATGATTTTGCGGACATGCTCGGGGGGCATGTCCTCCTTCTGCGCGTCCACGAACCCGAATTTCCTCTTCTCCGCATAGCGCTTGGCCTGCAGCTGCTGCCACTTGCGGGCTGAGGAGAAACACAGAGGCGGCGGTCAGGCCCTGTCTCCCGCGGAGGGTCTGGGGTGGACGAGGCCGTACCCACCTTTCTCCTGCAGCTTCTCCTCGGACATGTAGTCRGGCAGCGGCGCCATCGGGTTGGGCACCGGGGCGCAGCCGCCGCGGTACGGGAACACGGCCGCCATGGCGACGCACCTGCGGAGAGGGTGGAAAGGAGCTCATGGCGAGATACGCGACTGCGACGAGGCCGCCGTCGGTCGCTTCCCCGCAACCTCTGCTCGCCCCGAGCCCGCTCCGGACCCTCCGCTCACCGTTCGCCCTCAGCAGCGGCCGCGACCCCCGCGCTCCCTCACCACAATGGCGGCCCCGCGCCGCCGCTACCGCGCCTCGGGGACCCGGATGTAGGCGGGCCGCGCAGCACGGGCTGTCCAATCATCTTTCAGGTATCCTTACAGACAGCAGGTGCAGCCTATCAGAACGCGGAGGTGGGGCGTGGGCGGGACTGAGGGCGGAAGAGAGGAGGAAGTTGTGTCTGTCGCACACTTCCGGTGTGGTGYCCCGCTTTCTCCGGTCCCGCCCTTCGCTGCTTCCGATTGGTGGAGAGAGGCGGCGGCAACAGCGCGGCGCCGCCTCTGATTGGACAGCGCSTGGCGCAGTTCATTCCGCGCCGGCTGTAGGGGGCGCTCTGGGGTGGGGGCGCTGTGTGGGGCCGGACCCCCCCGGAGAGTGGTAGAGGCGGGCGGCCCTCAGGGCTCCGGGGGACATTTTGGACACATCCCGGGAATATCGCCACGGAGCCGTGTAGGGACAGCCCCCACGGGGCCTGTACATCCCCTCAGTGAGGCTGAACCCATCTCAGCCAGCCCCTCAGGCAGGGGGGATGCTGCGCCTCGGAGTGATGCCTCGCCCCCCAGCACTGCCCCCGTGGCCATACTATGGCTCCTAAATGGCCCAACAAGTAGCCACCCTCCTCGCTGCCCCCTTCCTGCGCCCCTCTTCAGAAGCAGAGGTGCCTCCCAGCCCTCAGCACTTGCCCAGCATCTGTGAAAACGTGAGGTCCAGCTCACTGTTGGTGGGTTCAATGTGTTTTTAGGGCCACCCCACAGCCAGGCAGTCTCTTGCCTTAGGGTTTTGCCAGGGTGGGGGCTCCCATGGGAAGAGGGGTTTTCTCTGAGGGATAGTGGCTCGTAAGATGGGGCTGGAAGGGGGTGTGGGTGGGTGGTAGACTCGAGCATTGCTCCTCAGAAATTAATTCCCTGATGGAGATGCTCCTTCCAGCCYTGTGATCCCCATACGCTGGGGACAGAGGGGTAAGTCCTTCCCAAAACCCTTCAAGCCAAGGCTGTGGCACTTTTCATCAGGATGGACAAGCACAGGGCATCCTCACGTCCGACCTCAGTGACCTGCAAAGCCGCCGCTTATCCCACTGTGGGAAAAGCACGGCGGATTAAGAGGCACCCAAAACAGGCTCCCCTGGCCCCCAACCCCACGTGCCCGGGGTACAGGACATCCACGTGACAGCAGGAATGCGGGAACACAATCCAGGCCTTGAGAATTATCCTGGGTGTGGGCAGAGGCTGGAGAGCAGAAGCAGTGTTTTTAGCAGATGCAGAGGCTGTGCTGARGGCAGGGATCAGCAGAGCAGCTCCTGGTAATCTGGGAATATGTGGGTTCAATCAAAGAGAAAGCCCTKGGTGATAGTTCTGCTCCAGCTGGGAGCTGTGAGGGGCACCGAGGCACCTCAACACCGCTTGAGGTGACAAACCCGAACCTGTCCCCAGCACCTGGAAGCTTCCCTGCTCTCCACAAATAGAAGCATAAGCRGCTTTAGCCACGCATTGTCTCCAGCCTCCCACTGCCCATGGCTCACTCGTCTCTCCCTGCCCAGCAGGAATGTGTCTCTCTCCTCAAAACACGTGCCACTTTCTCCCAGCAGTGCCTTGTTCCAGCTTGTGCCCGAGCTCTTCAAACCCAATGAGAGATTTTGTGTTAAAGCTTATTTGTCACACAAAGGGAATGTGACTGACCCCGTGGATTTCTGCAGACTGGTTCACGTAACCCAGAGTGGGATGATCTTGTTATATACACAGTGCTGGGCTGCTGGGGAGCAGTCCAGTCAGTGGAGAAAAGGAAATGTGAAGTAAAATACAATTAAAAACGTTCATCTTCCTCCACAGAAAGGAGAGGGGTGGGGAAAAAAAAACCAGGAGAGGTAGAGTGAGCCAGTGTACAGTGTATTTTCACTCCATGGCAGGGAGACATGGGATAAGGACTGTGCTAAGCAGTGACACCCCCAGAGTGGGCTGRGGTGCTGAGTCCTTTTGTCCCCTCTCAGTCCCTTCCCCTCAAGCCATTTCATTTGCAGCCATTTATTAAAAGCTCATGTTAGTAAGAGCCTTTGCTGCTGGGTGAGAGCGTTACACTGGGTCTGCAGCACGACTTGTCRTTCCCGACAGATGTCTGAATCCTAAAAGGTGCCTGAAAACTCCACATCTGTGGGAAGTGACCATCACACAGCATCCTCCCGCCAGTGACTCGTGCTCTCCCRCGCTCATTTATGGGCACTTAAATTATCTGGGGACAAAACAACATGAGAAAAGCTCCTGTTGTCAGGAGAGGTTGGGGCTGCCCCAGAACTGGACCCCACAGTGGGAGCAGCCACCCAGCCAGGTCTCAGCCTCTCCCTCCATCACCCACCTGGGACAGTCTTCTCAGGGAGGGCTCATCAGTGCAGGGTTTGGTTTTTACTGGCCATCACCTCAAAGGCAAAGCCTCGGAGCCTGTCTGGTGATGTTCTCATGGGAAATGCCACAGAGGATGCAGTGTCCTGTGGCTGATGGGACACTGGGGGCTGCAGCACCAAAGGGGTTGGGAGCACCCTGTGGTGTCGGGATATATGGAAGAGCAGTGTGGAAACAGTGCTGCTCTGCCCCCTTCTCATCTCAGTGGTGCCTGGGAGAGCTGTGACAGCTGTTTAGGCTTCTCTGAGCAGCTCCCGACTGTCCAACCACATCATCCAAAGGTGTTTGGGGAGCAGAGCCACAGTCCCTGATCCRTGAGCACCTCCTCTGCTGCGCCAGGCCCAGGATCTTCAGCCACAAGAAAAGCTCTGTTAGTGCAGACCTTCCCTGCAAGGTACTGAGACAGCCATGTTCATCCTCCACTGTGCTTTGCTCTCCTCCTCCATGGGTTTGGAACTGTTCTCCCCAACCCTCCCAGGGAAGGGGGCTATTCCTCCTTCTCCTGCTGCCTGTCCCGGCTGGATTTGAAGAAGTCACTCCGCAGCAGGCGGTAGAAGAGGATGATGTTCATGGGCGTCATGATTGCCATGCCCACCGTGCCCACGGCGTAGCTGGCAGGGGGCACGTTCTGGCGATTGAGGAAGAGCCAGCGGGTCATCCAGGCCAGCGTGGCAATGCGGAACACCACGTAGGTGCCCATGTTGATGATGCTGTTGAGGCGGTAGCAGGTGGTGTGCACCAGGTTGGCCATGAGCAGGATCTGCCGCACGTGGAGGAAGATGGAGTTGATCTCCACCAGCAAAGCCACRAGGGCAAAGCCCACGTACTGGTGGAGCAGCACGGCGATGCCAAAGCAGACAATCACCTGGGGAGGAGGGAGAAGAGAGGCTGAGCCCGGGGGCTGGTTGCTCACAGCTGCTGCAAGCTGGAACTCTCTACACTTTGGGCACAGCATGGAGCAGAGTTGGAAAGGATCATCACAGCAGTGCCAAACCTCTGGGCATTCCTGCAGCATTGCAGCCTCAGGCACCTCCTCACCATTGCATGAAACCTGAGTGCATTTCTTTGTTCCAGCGGGAAGARAAGGAAACAACTCCCTAAGCTCCAGGTTGGCAGAGCAGACAAAGCAGCCTGACCTCACCCTACTCTTGTGGCCTGGGGAATGCAGCCCACTGYGGCCCAGCAGGTTTTTCCACACACAGTAAATGGACAGGAAGGGAAACTGTAGCCCAGGGCTACGGCTGCTGGCTCAGGGATTGTCCCCACAAMAGGCACCCTGCAGGGATTAGGTGGCTTTGGTGTGACAGAGAGCCCCGTGGGATGCCCCCAGCGTGGCCTGAAGCACCCTGGGGTGCTGGGGTGCTGCAGCAGAGGCCAGGACTGTTGGGGACAGGATTCCTGCCCCACACCCTCCCAACCAGGCAGGGGGACAGGCTCTGCCTGCCCACSCTTCAGCACACTCAGTCCTTTCTTTGGTTTATGCCATTAATGCTGTTCTCTGTATGGGCTCTGTAATGAGATTATCTGCTCCCCGCTCGTTAAGTCACTGTCTTGGCTTGAATTAGCTCTATTGTGGAGATGAACTTTTGGCTCAGCAGCAGCAGCCAGCAGAGCCCCAGGGCTCACTGACAGAGCAGGTCTGAACACCGCCTCCCGTCTCATCCCAGGTGAGTGCCAGCATTGTCTCTGTCCCCCACCCAGGCCCTGACACCCCTGAGCCTCCCCTGTACCCTGCAGCATCTCTGCTGCTCAGCTCCAGCCTGTGCCACCCCCCTGCCCTGCTGCATCCACAGTCTCAGCGTCACAGAGTTGTTTTGTAGGGAAAAACACTCCGGCACCCGGAGATCAGMGGTGATCAGAGAGAAACCCACATGGGACACAGCAAAGCAGGCAGGAGGCACTGCAGAGGGGGTCCTGCCCCACAGCTGCTCCAGCCATCCCAGCCCCAGATGAGGGGAGAGCACCCGGGAAGTGGGAGGTGGATGGAGGGAGTGTTCAACCCTTCCTGGCGGTGTTGAAGAGRGCAAGAGCCACAGGAGGTGAGCTGCTCACCTGTGCCAGTGGGGACACCTGGGTCACTGCTGTCGGTGACACTGTTATGGATCAGCCCAGCCCTCTGCCCCGTACTCTGTGTACACATTTTTTTCTTACCCCATTTGTGGGTGCCTTTCTGCAGACCCTCAAACAGTACAGAATCCTGCAGGACCAACAGGAGCTCCCAGCCCTCTCCCCAGGAAATAAAATCAGATTTTGTAGCAGGCAGSAAACACCTACACAAACAGCAGGAGCCCCACTGGTGTCCCCCATCCCCAGCCTCCCTGGYGGTAGCTGTGCTGGTGCACTCACCACAGAGTGATGGAAGAGCAGCTCCCAGCACTGACGAAGTTTCTGATTGCACAACAAGTCCACAAAGTCTTCAAGGAAATAGCCTGGGATTGGGGGAATCCATGAAMAAAGGAGGGGTCAGGAAGGGCTGTGCCAAAGGACCCCCCTGCCCCAGTGGGCTCTGTACCTGACCTGGGCAGCCCCCAAAGGGAAGTGATGATCACATCACCACTCACTGCGTGGGTRGTGAGTCACACACAGAGCAGGGTACACACAACAAAAAAGGGAAATTGGTGTGCTTTGGGTCCCTCTTGCAATCACTCTGTAGGATATGCTCTTAGGAAGAGGCACCGACTARCTCCACCAACGCCATGTGGGCACTTTTGGGATGCCCCAAGCCCCGGTTCCCCCCGAGSACTGTGGAGGGCAGCCCGGTGCCCAGTACCTCCCGGCTGCGGGTGCCGTGGGACAGAAAGGAGCCACTGTCCTTTGCCAAGAATAGAGCGATTGTTTGAGGTGCCTGAGACATCGCGACATGGCTCGAGGGGCTGGTGTCAGGCACCGACGAGCCCGCGAAGACCCCCCGGGGGACAGGACAGGGGACAGCCCACTTGTCACATCTCACCTACAGACACGGCGACCAGGCTGTGCGCCCCGGGCGGGTGTGTGCCCACCAGGTCCTTGGACAGCTCGGGGTGGAGGTAGAAGCTGCAGGGAGAGAGGTTGTGAGTGTCGGGCAGTGCTTCTGCTTCCCCAGTTCCCTCCCAGTGTCCTCGGTACCCACCTGGTGCTGCCGACCCTCCCTCCTGTCGCCCTGCTCCACCCACAGCCAMCCCTCTTCTCCTGTTTTCCGTGGAGTCTCCCTATCCTCTGGTGCTTCCCTGTCCCTCGGACCTTCCTCCATCTCTCAGTGGCCCCCAGCCTGCAGGTCCCCACACTCCTCAGGGTCACCAAGACCTCCCCATTCCTCAGTTTCCCCCAGTGACCCCTTGGCCGCAGGTTCCCGTCGGGCTCCCTCGACGCCCCCGTTCCCCGCCAGCGTCCCGGTCCCCCCCAACAGCCCGGTGTCCCTCGGGGGCTCCGCGGTTGCGCTCACCCGGCCAGCGCCCCGCCGCCGCTGAGCACGCTGTGCGCCAGCGATGTCCAGATGTTGCGCCACTTCCAGCGGTTGCGCCGGGCCGAGGGCGGCGGCGGCACCAGCCGCTCCAGCCCCCGGTTCAGCAGGCGGAAAGCGGCGAAGGAACCGGCCACCACCAGCAGCCCCGGGCTGACAGCCATGGGCATCCACCGGCCCGTTGTCTTCCTCGAGCTCCCATGGGACCGGCCTCGCTGCCCGACGGGCTCCGCCTCGCCCAGCCCCGGGGCCCGCCCTGGGCACCGGCACCGCCCCGGGCACCGGCACCGCCCCGCCGGTACCGCCCTGCCCCGGCCKCGCTGCGCCTCCCCGGGCGGGGGCACAGCGAGCATCACCCGCCAGGGGAAGGGCCGGGGGCCGCCCCGCTGCTGGCGCTGGCAGCTCCCGCATCCCCCCGCGCAGGAATGCGGACGCGAAGCGGCAACGCTTCCCGTCGGGGCGTGGGACACGGSGAGCGGGAGGACGGGAATTGAGTCCCCGGGGATGTATCCGCCTTCACCGGCATCGCACGGCAGAAGCGGCGCCAGCCCGGCTGAGAGCGTGGCACGGAGCGGGGAACGCGTGTCCCGCTACTGTGCGGGAATTGGGGACACTTCCCTCGTTCCCCTGAGGTTCCTCCTCCACCCTGGTGGCTCCGGATGCCCGAACATTTCCCCCATGAGGTGCTGCTGCCCGTGATCCTTCACCCCAAAGCATCCCTGTCCCACGTCTGGTCCCGAGAGGAGCTCCCCGATGTYTGGGATACCCCAGCTCTGYTGTCTGGCGATTGTGRAAAKTCACAATCCCGTTGTCAAAATTTTTTTCCTACCCTACAACTATGCTGTTTTTTCCAGCTTCCCGTAACTTGATCGCTCCCTTGYTGCTTTTTGATGTCTCCAGCAGAAGCTGCTGCACAGCCCTCCCTTCCCCTTGTGCCGCCGGATGAGTCACCGTGTACACACCGATTAATCTCAAACTCTACCTCTCCTTTGAGGTATTAATTTTGGWTGAAATCTTCTACTTCCTCTTGCTGAAACAGAAGCGTGTGGAGCCTGAGCTCTCAGTTGCTGTCCTGGCTTTGGGGTGATGGACACAAATACACACTAATGGAAGGGACGCTGAGTGATTAAATCAAAAGGGGGGACGGGTAGGGCTCTTTTCCAACCTAAATGATTCTGTGTTTCTGTGACAGTCCCAACTGGTAGAAAAACATTTGTTCATGCTGCACAAATTTGCTTAAAAGCCAGGCAAGACAATGCACTTTCATAACAGTTACGTGGCAGGGAGACACTGCCTGAAGTAATAGGCAGCCCTGAGTGCTCGGGGGATTTTAAATAATCTCKTGTATTAGGACTCGAAGGATCACACAGGCTAATCTGTTACTGAGAAGACCAAATGCAAAGACATTTCTGTTTAGTATGGGATGTACTGAGGAAAGAGAGATATGCCTTGGAGACATGCTGGGCTGCTCAGGGCACTGAGGAGAAAAATCATTTAACAATTAATTGAGTATAAAATTGCACAGAGCTGGTTTCCGAATGAGAAGTCATCTGTGGTGCTTTAGCCTCAAAAAATCCTGACTGTCCCTTTGTGTGGTGACAACTCTGCCCTTCACCTGCCTGTAGGGAAAATCCCAGACCATGGAATGCGTGCAAGTCCAGCCCCATTTCCCCACGGGCTCCTCCGTTTGTGATGTGTTTATCCTAAGGATGAACATGCAGCCAGGCTCGGGGTCAGGAATAGTTAAAATGTTTCTGGAAACTGGAGGGCTTTTACCTACCACTCCTGCATGGGARGAATTTAAGCGGTGATTAACTGAGCCTCTGGTTCAAGGACTTTGATCCCATTGCAAAACCGCTACCAACAGTTACATATAAACTATTTTTTGGAACATTTTAACCCAGATTTCATTTAATTTCCCCAGGACTTCCCATTGAGCCGCGGTTTCTTACAAGCCCCGTTTCCAGCCTTTTCTCCTTGTCTTCCTTCCTCTGCAGCRATGGCATTAACCGGGGGCGGTTTTGGAACTGGAGACTTCCAAGCCCAGTTACAAACAAGTCCCTTGACACCAGATSGGGCCAAATATTCAACCACACGCCACAGGCTCGGGGGCCAGGCTTGTCCCAAAAGAACCCGTACGGCCGAGCAGGGACGGGAGCTCCCGGGCGCAGCTGCCACAAGAGGTCCCTGCACGCCCGCCGGAGAACCGCGAGCTCGATCCGATTTTACATTCACACCTTATTTGGAGATAGTGCCTTTTTCACCCAAWTTTCCAGAAGTTTTCTGACTGTCCCCAAACGACCTCATTTTCTGCGGAGAGACAGCTCAGCCTGGTACCGGGTCGCTGCCGGTGCCTGTTCCCAGCAGGGCAGGGGACTCCTTGCAGATACCAGCAAGGACGTGCCCAGGTCCATCCCATAATGCCACTGCTAATCCCATGGCGGGGGTTTTCCAGCAGCACTCGGGGTGTAAATCGAGGTTATGGAATTTTATTCAGTAGYTGGACAATCGTTTTTGTCTCCCTTTCCGAGGCTGGAGTTTCTCTGCAGGGCATCTGAGAGATCTGTGCCATTTTCYACAATAAAAAGCTGCTAGTTGAGTGATAATTCACCATAGGAATTCTGCCAGATAAACTCTGTGCCCCCCAGATGCTCCCCAGCTACTCTTGGATGGGGATTTCGGTGTGCTTTTCCAGAAGGAGAAGCCCACTCTGTTCCCAAATGCCACAGAGGACTCAGCGCAGCCAATAGATGTGGGAGCCAGGCACAAGTTATGCTCCTGGTTTTGGAAARCCTCCCTCCCTTAATCTGCCTCTCTGCATCCAGGGAGTCATAAAACCCATCTGCTCACCTAATGCCAGACTTGGCTCACACCTGAAATAATCTGAGGAGTCCAAGAGCTCAAAACAAATCAAGCAGCTTGGCTTCCAAATTTTAATTAGCTGTTGTCTGCATCCCTCTCTAAACTGTGTCACCACTCTGTCTGCTTAGGCCATAAGAAGTCAGATGATGTAGGAATGCTTTATATATCCACATCTCAATTCAGGAAGTCTGTAACTCCACACTTATGAAAGGATCTACTGTGCAAAAATGCAGGTTCTRCATGGCAAAGCATGCCCAGGCATTGCAGAGGCAGCTGTGGAGAGAGCTGAAACCAATTCAAACTTGAGCATCCACCCCTTCCAGCCAGAAGCACCTTCCTGATGTGGAACCTGGATATTGTCCCGGTAGAACTTGCCATAGACAAGGGAGAAAGGGATTTCAGTCTCTGTAAGTGTGGTGAAAAGCCTGGCATATAGGAATGCTCCCCAAACCACCCAGGCAGAGCCTGCTTTGCCCACATGATAAATGGCCCCAGGACAGGTTGATCTGGATGCTCTCCTTTTGGCCTTTTTCCTTTTTCCCAGGACTGGAAGATTTTATTTTTTTCCTCAGGGCTTGGCACAAGGRACCTTTTGGAGAAACTTGTGTTGACAGCAGTGTCCCTAAGGATGCTGCAGGCTCAGCTGTTTCTCATGGGTTTGGGCTGGACCAGCTGTCATCATCCAGTGGCACGAAGGATGTGCTCTCTCCTCACTCCACTTGCACAGGTATGCCATGGGATGAACAAAATTCCATTGAGAACACATTGATTGGCAAAACCCCTTCAAGCACAGCAGCATGGGCAGCTCCTTRGAGCTCTCCTCTGATTCCAACAGCTGACATGCCCCAAATTTTTTGACTTTCTGAGCTGTTGTTAGTAAAGTTTCAGGTTCCTTCTTTCCTTTTCCAATGTTCACTGTGGARAAGTGGTGCCAGGTGTCTGCCAGACCTGTATCCCATCTCTCACCATACCAGACATGAATGCTTAGGAAAAAAATGTGAAACACCACATATAATTATTCTTACCCTGTAAGCAAATATATTCCCATTAAACATTTCCTTTTCCTTCTCTTCCTCCCTTGTGGGATAAATATTTTTTTCTGTTTAATTCACTAGTCTCAAGCTTAAGTAATTTTTGATTAATATGTATGTGCTTTATGATTACCTTACGATGCATTTATGATTACATGCGTTTTTTGTTTGTTTTGCATTTCAGACAGTTTAAGAAGGAGTCCTCCAAGAAGGAAGCACATCCCAGCCCTTACACCCAGCTCATCCAGCATCATACCTTCTGAGCCCACTCAATTCCTCCTCTTTTACAAATACAAGYGCAGGATCTTCCCCACTGAATCTCCTGCTGCCGCCGGCTCCRCAGCTTGGAACAGGTTAGGTTCCCTCCTGAATTCTCTCGTTATTAATATCACAAACCAAGCTGCTCTGARAGCAGTGCCCCATTAATCACTTCAGCTCTGCTGCAGGTTTCACCTCGCTTCCTCTTCCTGCCACTGAGCAGTTTTCCTATGATTTGACTCTGTGGGTGCTGCTCATTAAAATCAGCAGGTCTGGTGGGGCAGGGGGAAAGGTGGGAAAAAGATGCATCCACACAGCCATGACATGAAAAAATGTGCTGCACCAGCTGATGGGGGTGGAAACTTGAARGGAGGAAAGTTACACCCCTTAAATCTTYGCCTCTAAACTTGATTTTTCTGGAGGGCCAGCACCACTGGGGAAACACAGCAGAAATAAAGGTTTCTAATAAACTCCAAGGTCAGCTCAGCAGCTCCTGTGAGTCAGCAGCAGTGTGGGTGGCAGATCTGCCCWGATGCCCACCTGGGCTTTCTTTGTGGTTGGAAGCACCACCACTTCCTTTTCTTCTCTTCCTTCCTCTGTTTAATCCTCATATGTGTCACAAGTAAAGATCTAAAACCCTCCGAGTAACCACCTCTGTTTTATCTAACAAAGGGCCAGAAGGTGTTTACAGAGCATCTTCCTGAAAATCTGCCTCCAATCCCATCCCCATCCCTCGAGGGTGTTTTGTGTATTCCTGACACACTCTCACATCCTTGCAGCCAGCCCAAACCTTCCCTCGACATCKCTTTCCACTTTCTATCCTTTGTCTATCACCTTTTCTATATCCTTTCTATCATCTTTGCCTCTGTCAGGCATTTTGTTTTTCCTCTTCCTTTGCACTTTTCAAAAGCTTTCCCTGGGTTCTCCGCTGCATCCAGCAGCATCCATCAGGATCCAGCAGCCAAATCTGCTGCTCAACCTCACAGTGCAAACGTTCCTGCACAGGATCGAGCTCCACCTGCCTCATCCCAAAGCTGCACACCTCTGTACCTGCCCCTTTGCCCGTTCACTGCTGATTTCCAGCCGTGAGCAAACGTTTTCCAGCCATTTCTGCTGAGTCAGAGAAYGCTCAGCGAGGGCTGCTGCTCCTCCACGTGGGAACGCGCTTCTGGGGAATAATTACAGAGAGTTTAAATACGGACATTTGGCAGCCAAATTGCTTCACATTCAGGCTCCTGGCCAGGAGGGCAGAGCCCAGAAGCTGCTCACTGGTGCTGTGAGAAAATCCCTCATTCCTGTGCCCATCGTAGGTGTGCAGAGCCCATGGGCCAGGATTATCTGGACACAGCATGGTCCCGATGTCCTGCCCTGAAGGAAGGGGTGCTCATGGCTTGGAGAGTCCCATGA